AAGATAAGTCTTACAAAATATATAGGTTTATGATAATTAAGACTGAGCTAACAGATGAGAAATCCTAGTCATTGGCCAAGCAGCATTTGTACCTTATAGAAGTCTCTGTGTATTATTTGGGGCCCTAACGGAGTGAGCGGAACTCAAGCGGGTGTCAGAAAGATTTATTGTAACACAGCCTGGCCTCAATCTCCCCATGAAGATGATGATGGCCCTGAATTTCAAAGCTGACTGCCTCTAGTTCCCAAGTGTTGGAATTACAAGTATGAACCACCACATCTGGGGACCAAGCCCAGGACCTCCTCATGCACACTAAGCATGTACGTCACCAACCCTCCCCAACTCTTCAGTGCCTTCTGCACTTAGATCACAGACTTTGGTTTCTATACAGCAGTGAAGACACCCGGTTGCAAGAACTAAAGAATGAAGCCTTACTTCAGGTTTCCACTCCAACATGTAAAGATCTTGAAAGTCATCATTTCTCATCTCACAGGAAGACTGAAAACTACTTTTCTTTTCAGTTCCATCATACAATTGAGATCACAGGGCAAACAAGTACCCTGAAAATTGGAGATGCCAGAGAGAAGAGATCACAGTTTACAGAGAACTGACACTGGATCCAATCAGGGGTCAGAAAACATAAATGATAATTGGCTAGTACTGAAGAATAAGCACAGGCTCAGATTAAAAGATAAAACTTTCTGGGAGCCAGCTCATTTTACCTCCATAAGCCCACCAGGTGGACGGAACGTAACTGTTCTGAAGTACACCTGGAAAATCATCCTGCTCTCCTTAGCTAGCACCAATCCTTACAGAATCCTATTTCACCAGAGGAGTTTGCCAAGGCCTAACAGACACAGGGAGAGGAAATAACCTAACTACAGCCCCACAGTCATCTTGCCTCACCAAATGAAGAAAAAAAGAGCTGAAAAACAAATATGGTGGCACACAGTTGGAATTTCTGCATTTGAGAATGGGAGGCAGGAAGACCACACTTCAGGAACAAGAGCCCAGTAGGAGACCAACACTCATAAGCAGTCTCTTTCCCAGGGCGTCTTACACAACAGTAGGGCTTCTGTAATACAAAGAAGAATAAAACAACTCCAAGGCTCACACATTTTAGTGAGCCTCTAATGTAAACCTAAACACACACACACACACACACACACACACACACACACACGCGCGCATAGAGAGAGAGAGAGAGAGAGAGAGAGAGAGAGAGAGAGAGAGATATCAAAACTAGGACACTAGAGGACACTCAAGCCTTAATCATTTAACACCTTCAGCAAAGAGTAAATACAGCTTAATTACTAATCATACAAATTCAATATGATACATCTCACTCTCAACAACAAAATATGTAGGGCATATTGAAAGGCAAGAGTAAGTGTGAAGAGGTAAGTAAAACAACAGAGTCAGACTCAGATGTGGCAGATATTTTGGAATTGTCAAAACTATGAATTTAAAATAATGGATATGCTTAGGGTTCTAATGGAACAAGTGGATAACATGCAAGAACAGATGAGTAACATGTTACGTAAGAGACCCTCTAGTTGCCCCTCACTGCCAGAAATGAGAGCAGGCCTCCCAGCGGTCTGGGGGTTAGGACGAAGTACTGACAGGCTCTGTTGTGACCACCTGAGCATAGCCTCCCTCGTGCACAGTTCTCTCTCTCTCTCTGGGACCCTCAGTAGAATAAAGCCTGCTGCATCAGGCCTTGCTGCTGTAGGGTAAGTTTACTGTCCTACCTAATGCTGCATCTGTAGCTTATAGGCCAGAACAAGCTAGATCCCTCCTTATGGGGCCTGTCTACCCATAAGGAAACCCCCAGGAGTCAGAAACCACTTTGCCTTGGGGATTTGAGAGCTAGTTTTTCAGGACTCATGTCATATTATACATGACAACCATCTCTTCTAAAGTCCCTTTCTGGGATTCTGAAGCGAATACTCTGTTTCTCCTTCAAGGTCCTGCCATGCTACCTACCTGTATGATGCTCTAGGTCCTCTAAGATCTCCTGTGACAAGAACCAATCATGCCGGCTTTCACATATGCCCAGCCAACTCAATGGTAGTGAGGCTCTAAACCAGCTCATTCTGAAGGGTAATCTCATGGCAGCTCCTTGCCATGCCCCTGCCTCTCTTTTTAAGTTGTAACAGTAAACAGATGAATACTCAAAGAACAAATTAAATAACAAAATGAGAACATGTAAAGAATCAGAATAAAACAACTGGGTAGAGAAAGGGTTGTCTTCAGCACAACGGGTGATTTGTCTAGATCTGTGATGCTAATAGGAAGATTGCAAAATGGGGAAAAAAAAATGGGCAGGAGAGATGGCTCAGAGATTAAGAGCACTGACTGTTCTTCCAGAGGTCCTGAGTTCAATTCCCAGCAACCATATGGTGGCTCACAACCATCTGTAATAAGATATGGTGCCCTCTTCTGGCATATATGGAGGCAGAATGTTGTATACATAATAAATAAATGAATCTTTTTTTAAAAAAGTGAAAAAACCAAGTGAAAAAATGGTAAATCCCTCAAGAGGGTGTTTTATACAATCAGAAATAAATTCTGAAGATGAGAAATAATGAATTACAGCAATAACTAAGTTTGAAAGGTTGTTTTAATCAGGTAACATGTAACTCACATCTCAAATCTTATCCTGTCCTTAGCTATTCATCTATTTTGAATGCCATTACTTAAATTCCCAAGGAGGGCTAACATTTTCAGCTACTCTGAGAGTGCAAACTAATACCTTACACTGAACATTCTAGAAAAACTAATTAACAGATTAAACCTCAGTGACTGTGGCGAGGTTGGAATGTTGCAGGTCCAGAGTCTGACTACAATTTACCCGGCTTACTGTTAGCCCCAAATTGCCTTTTCTTGCCTACCTCTGTGTCTGACCTAATATCCTTTTGATTATTAAGTGAAACCCTTTGTAATGCATTAACAGACTACTGATTTCCACCAACCAAAAGGCCTTAAGAATGTTATCAGACAGTATCCGAGGTCTATAACAGATACTTCCTCACTTTGCTGAAACCACTGTCTGCCATTTCAACCAATGTACGTGGAAACTGCATTGATTTATGATTTTGTTGCTTCTACAAAATTTCATGAGGCATTTACCACATTGGGGCACGGTGTTTGGGAAAACCTGAATTTGTGTTCCTGGGCAATGGTCACCCACATTAAGATCCAGAATAAACCATTTCTTATCCCCTTTGAAATGAAAGTCATAGTTATTTTTGTGTTTGTTTCGAATTAACAAGTGTTATATCATTTTGTTTTAAGTTACATAATTTAATTTCACTTTAACATTTCTATAAAGCCAAAAAAGAAACTGGGCAAGAAAACCCAGCAACCAGCTACTGATGTGTCTTTACTCCTTTGTTCATTTAACAAATGTATTAAAAGACATTCTTCGCTCTAGGTAATAAGAGTCTTCAGCAGTGCACAAAAATAAAAATCTTTATGCCCATGGGGATAGACTTTTTATGAAACATACAGCAAGGGTGAGCAAATTCCCAGAGTCAGAAATGGGAATACGGTGTTCCTGGTGTATGTGTGGGGTGGTGGTGGAGGTGGGAAGGTGGAGGGGTGTTACTGTAATACTGGAGTGGCAGTATCCAAAACCAGATCCTGTGGGGGCTTGGAAGAACGGGAGCACTTCCTCAGAGGGAAAGGGAAAAGCTTAGGGACACTTTTGGACAAATCTACAATGACTACCACACAAAGCTGTTGACCACTCAGCTGGCCATTGCAATGCATAAAAGACATCGATGAACGTGCTAGGTTTGGATAGCACAGCTACTTCAAAAAGTAAAAGTGGCCCTCATTACATAGCAGTATGAGGAACTACAAGGATTGCACTTTCCTGAAATGGGAATGACTGTATGCTGGAAACAAAGGAGGAGTACAATGCAACGTTGAAGATGAATTTTGAGAAGTCTATTAATTTCTAAGTGTTGCTGCTTTGTTTTTCAGTTTTCTAGAGAGGGATCTTGAAGAGAGATGAAAACTTTTGAGTCATGAGTATATACGACTTTGAAAGGAACAGGGCAGTAAGGAAGAGAACCTGACCCCACAACATATATTTAGGTAAGGGACAGATGGGTAGATTGGTAAAGTATAAATAAGCCTTTAATCCCAGCACTTTTAATCCAGATCCATGCCAGCCAGGGCTACACAGTGAGAACCTATCTCTAAATATACACAGACATTCATAAAAATAAAAGAAGAAAACTAGCCATGGACCTAATGAAGACTGGGGAATGGGTGATGTTCCAGGAACTAATTGAAGCATTTCAAAACTCAGTAAGTGGTCACTCAGATCAAAACTGGTTATGGGTTAGTTAACAACAAAAGTGTAAACTGACTGCTGTTAGCTATCAGAGAGCTTTTTTTGGTGAAGGGGAAGGATGGCCTAAAGGCTGAGTACTACAATCAAGGGCGAATACAAGGTTCTCTCCCAGGAACTTTCAGTAAGTTCAAACGGCCAAGAACTGAGCAAAGGACTGAAGAAAATATGTGACTGGTTTGAGAAGACAGCAAAATGACTGAAACGTGCGAACATGAATTGGGGAATTTTCGGGGACACTCAAGGAATCACTTTCAAGTTCTACGCCTCACGAGTCCACGTATCTTTGTATTTTTCTTCTGGTCTGTGCTTTTTTTTTCTGGCCTAGCAGAATGTTGTAAGAAGTTAAGAGTCTTAAGGCAAGCTTGGAAAAAAAAATCCTCTGCTAGAGAACATGTTAAAATTAGCTTTGGTTGCTCAGAGAAACCAAGGAGTCCGGAGCACAGCAAGAAGGTTTGAAGTTGAAAGACCAAAGGAAAGGACACAAGCAAAATGCACTTGGAAGCAACAGGAGGCAGGGGGTCGAGCACCGCAGAAGAGGTTCTATGAGATCGAATACGCCGGGAACCCCTTTCCAAACCGAGGGGCTGTCTCCGGGATCTAGAGGAATGGACCACGGATCTAGTGCGGAACTTACGTGTTAAAGATGGCCTGCTTGCGGGTGCCCGTCGGAGAGCCGAACATGGTGGCGGCCCGCAGA